CAAACAAACAATCTTCCCTTCTTTCGGCGCTTAATCAAAACACAATGTGCACACGGGTTTGTGCTTTTAGACTGAGCAAACACAACCAACTCATGTATCACAAAATGAAATATTTCCTTTATTTTTGATTCCCACTTTGCTCTTGAAGAAGGAAATTCTGACCTTCAAACGTTTCTCTGTTATAAATCAAAAGGAACTATATTCTTACGCAAGTATTATCATTTCAATATAAGAACAAAGTAATTACGACACTTCACTCAATATAAGAACAAAGTAATTACTACACTTCACCGTAGAAGCCATATATGAATCCTTGTAGCCCTAGATACAATTAATCACAGAGATATATCAAACCACTTGACGCCGTGTCTGCTTCTAGTCGATAGTAGGGGGTGAGGAGTAGTTCACAGAGGGTGGATAGGTGAAGAAGCCATTTTTAGACTCTAGATACAATTAAGTACAAGGATATATCAAACCACTTGACGATGTGTCTGCTTCTAGTCGATAGTAGAAGGTGTCAGAATGGATAAACCGTATCTATAGTTTGTTTGTTTGTTTTTCGAATTTTGAGCAAAGTACTCGAGAGCTATCTGCGCTAGTCGTCCTTAATTTAGCAGTGATAGACTAGAGAAAAGGCTCGTAGTCAACATCACCTACCGCCAACGCTTGAACTACTATTTTGCCAAGAAAAGTGGGATTGACCATCACATTATAATTCCCCCTCGACCGAAAGAGTGTGCATGTTCGGTGACGAGATTCGAATTCGCAACCCACAGATTTCAAGTCGAGTGCCCTAATCACCAGGTAATGCCAGTTTGACCACAAATGATTTTCCTACATTGTCAATAAAATGTAAGCATTGTTCTATTAGTTTTTTTGTTGTTGAATGTCATAAGTTTCTCATGGTTAAAATTTTTAAAAAGTGTTTTAGGATCGTGTTTTCCTTATTTAAAAAAAAAGAAGAAATATTTTTGCCGTTTCAATATTTTTATTCTGAAAATATGGACCATGAAAGATTGGCAAATAAAACAAGAACATCGAAAAAAAGTACATCATTATATAACTATACAATAATTCCTGTACAGCTAATTTAACACTAAGTTCGCAAATTGTTTATTTAGTTTAAAAGTTACTACTTCCTAATTTCTGATGGTTAACTGCATGATAATAAATATGGAAGAAACATTTTTTTTACAAAATGCATAAGCTAGGAGAAGGCAGAAAGGAATTTGCTGAGTAACAAAAAGCTTTTATTTAGTGAAATATTATCGTTCGAGAGTAAATATACTTGAAAAAAAGAAAGTCCATCTATTATATCAACGTATCGGCTATAAACAACTCTCATAGGAAAGGAGAACTTTATAGCTGGACCCTTAATTAGAAATAATCTAATCGTAAATCCTGATCAAGACACTAAACCTGTCCTATGAATATTTTAATTGAGTTTACATCAGAGATCAACATTTTGGTTGAGCTATAAATGTCTTCCAAACACAATAAACTTGTAAGATAAATTATTCTATGAAAGCTTTCCAAGTAATAATAATAATAAAACAACCAGTAAATCTTTCTGATTGCAAATCATACGTCCCCCCACCCTCCTCCATTAAGAACAGTAGATTGTGCCATAATATATTTTATTTCACTGAGACCTTCAATATTTAAGAACGTTTTCTTACCTTTTTGGCAGTTGTTGCCAGCGAATCCTAGCGGACAATGACATGCGTAGAAATCTATTTTTGGAACACAGCTCCCGCCATTTTGACAAGGCTTGTCAGCACACTGGTGATCACAGTTGATGACATTTGCTCCAGATAAAGCATCTTCTAATAACTTCAATGGCTTATTGTTTATGATAACCTGATGAGTAAAAACATTAAGAGATTAAATCGAAAAAAAAACAAAAACAGGATAAAAATATAAGATATAATAACAATTTCCTGACTAAGAGTAAGGCCACACTCACGATATTTTTCTCGCTGTTGACGTCAAAGTCAACTTCGTTGGAAAGGACTATCTGGGCTACTATCTGTAAGAATCAATTTGCTAAACTCAATATACAAGCTAAACCTCAAGAAAAACAAAACAAAAAAACTTTGGATATTAAATGGATACTCTTTTACCAACGGATAATAGGATTGACTGTCACATTAAAACTCTCTCATGGCTGAAAGAGCGAGTATGTTCGGATTCGAATTTGAGACCCGCAGATTGCAGTCTTTCTTAAAATAAACTGTTTTTTAACAACGATGTTGAAAATAATACGAACCTTTTCTTGGCTATAGTAATTGAAATTATTATCCCTAAGTAAGGAGGTTTAAAATAAGGATGTTAATATTCAGTTACCTGACGTCTAATTGAATGTAAAAATTAGCCATTTAATGCATCTTAATTTTGATGAAAATCTTTTGATTTGAAAAATAGCAAGGCAAATACCAAAGGCTACTGTGTGTGTGTGGTGATGGTTTAGAATTCTTCGAAACTTGGACTTTGCAAAATAGAAAATGTAGTAATGGTGAAAAACTCACCAAATTAAAATAATTTTATTGGTAAACACGAAAAAAAAACGTTTCGAGAAACAGCCCTTCATCATTACTATATTTTCTTTCATTACTAACTAGTGAAAGTACCCGGCTTCGCTCAGGTTTATTAGGTTGACACAGTATAGATGACTACGTTAGTGTGTGTATTCTGAACCTATTTTAGCATCCCGAAAGTGGACACAGTCTTCAACTCACACCTTCTTTTGGTTATTACGGATGAATGGCAGCCTTTCTGTTTCAATTTTAGCGTACTTTACGATTTTAGTGACGGGGGTGCAAGAAGGCCATGAAGGGGATTGCCGTGAAACCTTGTAAGTGTAGTGAATGTTGGTATGATTTAAAGAAATGAATAAATAAGCCTAAAGTAAAGACATAGTGTGAGATAACCTAGCCTATAGCCAAGTGTATCAAATTTATTATGAAAGTAAAAATATCGATCCAATTTAAACTTAAATGGTTTCTGAATTAAGCTATTTTCTGTTATATCACCAACGTTTCTAATAAAAACAAACCTATTTAATCAACGGTTTGTTTGTAATTATGCACAAAGCTACACAATGGGCTATCTGTGCTCTGCCCACCACGGGTATCGAAACCCGGTTTCTAGCGTTGTAAGTCCGCAGATATACCGCTGTGCTACTGGGGTGCTTAATCAACGGAGACTCTAAGTTAAGAAACCAACAAATATTTTTCAAGTTTTGTTGTTTATACCTTTCAGTTTATACTTTCAATAGATAAACTAACAATATTATTAGGTTATCCAAACATTTGTTTCAGTTTAAGGCTTCTTGCAAATAACCATGGTTTGCTAATTTAAAAACTTTTCCAAAAACTACGTTTCTCTCTTTGTGTTTTTTACAACAATACCGATAAGTCTATTGAAAGCATTCTTATGGGATTTCATGAGTAACTTGTGGACTTACACCTGTTTCATCTTACTTGTTTACTCATTCTGAATACAAATATTTTTACGTTGATTACGAAATTTTTAGTTGGAAATATTATCTCCTTTTTATCGTTTGGGGGTCAGTCATTCATTTACTAAAATAATAACAATTGATTATTTTTCACTGTCCCGGATGTCTACGGACCACAAGTCCACCGATAAAGCTAAAATATGTTGTTTTTTTATTCTTTATTTGATCATTTCATTTACTTAATTCTACAGCACTTCAGGCCAAACCGTGTATGACAACATATTTACCATTTAATATGTAATAGCCGTTCAAGTACTTTAGAATTTACCGAGTATATTTTTTACTGTCTTCGTGACTTATTTTTGCTGATTCGCTAGCAGTTAAACGTTTACCCCAGTAATATTTTATGTGATGTTGAGTAAATCCTTTCACATTTTTGATTATGTTCTAACAAAGAAACTTCGAGTCTCGTGTCTGTATTTGTGTTTTTGGAAGAAATTTCCTTAACATTTATTTGATTCATTTTAAATGACCAAATTTTATAAACATCTCTCACTGAGGTATCACATGCAATACCAGATTAATGAATTGGTCAACTAGGCCCGGGCCACACAGGGGCCCCGCCAGCCATCTAAGTTAAAAAAGAATGGTTAGTAAAACGAGCATAATAGAGGTAAAAGTGAGTTATTATTATCATCATTATCATTCCCAAATATTACATGGACCTAGGGCCCACTAAACTTTAATCCGGTCCTAATAATGGCAAACCAAGTCATATGGAATGTTAAATTGTTAGTAAAACTAGCATAATAGAGGTAGAAGTGAGTTATTATTATCATCATTATCATTCCCAAATATTACATGGACCTAGGGCCCACTAAACCTTAATCCGGTCCTAATAATGGCAAAACCAAGTCATATGAAATGTTAACGAGGCAGGCAAAAAATAAATTCACGTATCACAGGAATATGGCTCTTATTTGCCAATTTTAAGTAGAGAGATTATGTAACAAATACACATTTTGTTAATGTCAAAATAGGAAAATAGTCATGGTCTAATTCTTGTGACAGTATTTATAGTTACACCCTTGGTGATGTAGTTTAGTTTTCCTTTGTAATTGGGCCTAGCGTGCATACTGTGAATCCGATGGTCCAAGGCTCGCGTCCCGTGGGCCTAACGCGGCCAAGTGGTTAACGTACCCGACTGTTGATCTGTGGTTCCCTAATTCGCATCTCGTTGCCACCTAAAACAAAACAAAAAATATCACGCTCCGCACCTTTGGACCGTGGGTGCGTTATAAGAGTGACGCTCAAAATCCACTATTTGGCCTGATAAGAGTTGTCGGCGGGTGGTATTATCTAACTGCTTATCTTCTAATTTACCACTTCAAAATTAGAAGCAGTAGAGTAGATAGTCCTTGTGTAGTTTTACTCAAGTATCTTAAAACAACCAACCATTCGCAATAATCGTTTCTCGTTGGGGTACATTTTAAGTTCTTTTAGTTAGAGACTTCTTCACTTATTTCGTATTTTCATGAAGTCCTAAGTTCAAGGTTATTATCTTATTTGGCAATATGTAAACAAACACCACCGTTCCAGTGGTTTGAGCTGGTCACCGTGTTTATTCACTAGACAAGTCCATGTTACAAAGGTCTAAGTCACATAAGCTAAATTGACACTTGATGATTGAGAGTTGTAGATCAGGAGGTTTTTCTAATAGAAATAAAATCACAGTTTTTTCAACTGAATGTGCTTACACCGCATGCAGAAATAAGTGATTGTTGACAGATGTTTATAATTGTCGTAAAGCATCTACAAGAGATTAAAGTAACAATTAGGCATTGAGGAAACGTTGGAACTGATCTTTGGAGATATGATTAGAATCGCACAAAATGAAGATGGATGCTAAAAACTGAACACAAAATTAAGTTGTTTGCTAAAGACTGAACACAAAATGAAGATGGATGCTAAAAATTGAACACAAAATGAATATGGATGCTAAAGACTGAACTCAAAATGAAGTTGAATGCTAAAGATTGAACACAAAATGAGAAGATTTTATATTCAGATTAAAACAATACTCTGTTGTAAACACGTTCACCCAGCTTTGATTATGAATTCCACGAAGTTCGTGTTCTTTAATAAGTTATTCTGTGACTAGTGACGCAATTCAATTGTATTTAAACAGTAAGAATTGGTGGGTATAAGTTTCGTAAAGGACAGGTATTCAGTATGAATTTTCTATGCAGTTCTCCTACCCTCTTGCTTGATTTCGAGCGCTAGACAGCATGTTATTTGTTTAAACACACTGCTTTGGTGTGAATTTTGCACAAAGCTACACGAGGACAGCTAGTCAACACCACCCACCGCCAACATTTGGACTACTCTTTTACCAAAGAATAGTGGGATTTGCCGTTACATTATAACGTCACACTGCTGAAAGGGTGAGCATGTTCGGTGACGGAGATCCGAACCACCGATTGAGAGTCGAGCACCTTATCCACTTTAAAGAAAGGATAGGTAGTTTTGTAGATTCTCACTGGCAGTTATTACTAATGCTTGTTGATTAGAGGAAGATATACTTGTGTAGAAAATCTGTTAACAAAGTGAAATTGAGTATCACAAAACATAATTTTCAGTCGTATGTTCTACTTTTCTACCTGATCAAGTGAAGAGATTATACATTAAGAAACATGGCAAGAAAACTGCATGGTCCTATTTTAGTTAATATGTAAATTTATAATTATAAAGGAAATTCTAAAATAGTTTTTTATCGAATGCATACCTTCTGAATGCACCCTGAGAACGAGGATTTAATATCAGCTTTATCAGCTACATCGTCCAAGTCAGGAACGCCCCCTAGATAGAGATTCAGAGGTAGGGACAGCTGAGTAAAGGCACCCTGGGACATACCCTCTACACGGGGTTGACTGTCCACTTCCAAAATACCGTTACGACCTGTCCTGGACACAAACAAAGTATGCCACTCATTCATCCCTACTGGTTCTAGACTCCTGTAATGAAAAACAATGGATTTAACTGACAAGCTCTCCAGTCCGCTCTACAGTTATTTTGTCAACGTTTCAATTGCTTATTTAACAAATGACCATTTTTCTCCACAAAGTTTGTTTTGTCAATAGAAAACAACCAGTAAATGTCCAGCTTTCGGTTTTGATACTTAAGCAACAGTATGAGTTTTCTATGGAATTCTGTTTTCTCTTCTTTTGGTTCTGAGACGACGTTTCGGGTTTCATACCGAGTTCTTTATCAGAAATCAGATCGAAACGTCGCATCAGGACAAAGAGACAAGGTAAAGTCAGTTCATAAATAAAGCTAAGTTCACATGTTAAAGACACTGTCTAACCCGACCATAATATAAATATTAGAAATATATTTTTATAATTTATACTGTATGTAATTTATTTCACAATTTTCTTTGTCATTTTAACGGATATCATTTTTAAAATTTTCAACATGATATATGATTATTTTAAACGAGTGTCTTACTGTACACTATATTCGAAACCTGAGTAAATATTACATGGTGTGTCCGCTCGTCATTTCTTGTTATAAAACAGGGGTAAAAGTATTCAACAACTCAGGTAACATTTTTCTAACCAGATATCATCTCATCTATTTTCGTGCCCGGTTAATACATAGATTCCTAATTCTACCAAAATAACGTAAACCCATGTTACTCATTTAATAAATTGGTTTAAGGTCCATATTTAAATTTCTGTTTTTTTTTTTAAGTAACGAAATCAGCTGGTTTATTATAAGTGATAAAGAGATTACCACCAGTGCTACCACTTAATTTAGATTGGTCCAATAAATTCGATTAGTGATGCTATTTACTAATATTTATTTAAACAACGACAAAAGACTATCGATAAACTAGAATAAGTTTTGAAATTAGGACTGAAGTAAAAATACTTATTTACTTTCTCCAGTAAGCTATCATTCACCCTATTTTACTCCATATTATCCTTACCAAGGTTATATCCCTGCAGCCCTGATGGGGACCTACGTTAGCACCCAGATCCCTCGTGATTTGTTAAAATGTCCTTAAATTATGGCTTGAGAAGTGCATTGGGGCATTGTTAGTAAATATAGTGATAACATGTAAGGTAAATGAAAGGGACAGATACAGCTAAGATGCTACTTAAAACTGTCCAAAACGTAATGAAAGGGACAGATACAGATAAGATACTACATAACACTGTCCAAAACGTAATGAAAGGACCGATACAGCTAAGATAGTACCTAACACTGTCCAAAACGTAATGAAAGGGACAGATACAGCTAAGATAGTACTTAACACTTTCCAAAACGTAATGAAAGGGACAGATGCAGCTAAGATACTACTTAACACTGTCCAAAACGTATTCAAAACTAGATGGGTTTTAGAGCTAATATGATATCCAACCATACTCAGATCAGAACTGTAGGTGTTTTCCCTATTATAGTCAAACTTGCCTAACTAAGGCAACTATTTAGCGATTTTATAATAAGAATTGCCCCCAGTAACTGTGATCTTGAAAACATCTACAAAAATGTAACCGAGGAATTGTTTTTTTAGGATTATTCTTTGTTTTGATTAAAATAAATGTACCTAGGCAGACAGAACTTTATAAACATGTAGAATGGACAACAGCACGTGAGTAAATGTACCTAGGCAGACAGAACTTTATAGACATGTAGTATGGGCAACAGCACGTGAGTAAATGTACCTAGGCAGACAGAACTTTATAAACATGTAGAATGAACAACAGCATGTGAGTAAATGTACCTTGGCAGACAGAACTTTATAAACATGTAGAATGGACAACAGCACGTGAGTAAATGTACCTAGGCAGACAGAACTTTACAAACATGTATAATGTTTTGATTGTTTCAGTTGTAGCTAAAAGGCCGAGAGCTTTATAACAGTTCTTAAACCGATGGACAGAAAACGACGATACTCTAAACATTTTGTAAATCAGCTGAATATTTTTATTTTAAAATAATATTTATTTGTTTAACATGAAGTATTAGTTTTCCAAATATACCTTCAAGTATTCAATATTGAGAAAACCAGGGCCACCAACAACTTTGATATAGTTATCTGAAAAGAAACTCTTTCGGTAAGACTTCACTACTTAAATTTTGCTTGTAAATTGAGAAAGAGTTTTGTCCAGTAATGCTGATTTAGGCAATGATATATCTGTAAAATAATTCCAGTAAGTAAAGGCAGAAATTTTGAAAAAAATTCCTACCTGACAATGGCAGGTCCAGTGCCTAAATCAAATCGAAATTCAACAAATCCGTCAACCAGTCCAATAGCCATGAAGTCACCTGCTCCATCTATTTTATATCCGTTGTAGAAGAGGATTCCGTCTGGTCCCTCGGGCTTAAAGACCATGAGAATTTCAATAAACAAAAGAGCCGAACTACCCAAGCCAGAATACTGAAGATAGGAGGATCCGTTGAAGAATGGAACAATGAGCTCTACAGCTGCGAACAGAAGAAAATAAAGAATCGAACATGGTTGTCTTATTGAAGAAGAAAGTGTGTTGTCCCCGATACAGATATATTAAATTTTCTTGTTACGAAAAAAAAAATCAATAGCGGAGCTACTTCCAATTCTGGAAAAATCTGAAGTCTTCTTCAATCGATGTAATACAAACATTTTACAAAACGCATGTCCAAGAAATCAACATTATTCCCTGAACTATTTATCAAATACGTATCAGAACGATACAAAAATACATATATTAATATAAAGACTATGCATGTATACTTTTAGAAAATCTTATTTTGGAAAAAGATCAAAAAAGTGTGATAAAATCAATTTATACTTTAACACCATATTCATCAATAGTCTTTTGAAACGATCCTGAGAAATGGTACCACCGATACAAGTAAAACATATACTTGCTTGAAATTTACTATAAATGTCACTTATTTGTTTGTTTGTTGTTAAGCGCCAAGCTGTGCCTACCACGGGTATCAAAACACGATGTAGCTTTGTGCTTAGCAACAACAAAACCTTCTTGCATCTGGACTCTTTATACCCGAAAAGTGCTCTGGTGGTCAAAAGATGCGCAACCTCCGCTTTTTTGTTTGCGATGGTCTGATATCCCGAAGAACTTTCGTTTTAGTAGCAGTTTTATAATTTCGTGACTTTCACACTAATATATATCCCTGAACTCATTTTGATATTCTTCATAACATCACCTACACTAATATATATCCCTGAACTCATTTTGATATTCTTCATAACATCATCTACACTAATATATATCCCTGAACTCATTTTGATATTCTTCATAACATCATCTACAGTTTTCGTAATTCTTATGCTATCATCAGAACCATCGATTACATATTTTGAAATAAAAATACTTCAGAAAAAATATTTAAACTCGACCTCCAAAAATCATATTTACTATCGTAAAATATTGCGATCTGAGCTTCTGGCTTTGAAGATGTAGGAATTAAAAAAATTACGACATAGTTTACGCACTTTAAAAAACGAAGCCTCAGGAAGAGAGATGATAAGTGATTAATTCATCATTTATTATGGTGAAAGGCGTTTAACAATGATACATTATACACAAGTTGGTCAAAGATGTAGACGCTAATTATCTTACGGCGTGCGTTGTTAGCTTCTAATCTCGAATGATAATAATAATAATATATGGTGTTAAGATAAATAAATGATGTACTGTTAAATAATCTTATCTGTTAACTTCTGATCTGCTATGACATAAACAATATTGGTGAAAAAATACACTTCATCAACTTAATCCATTCACACCATAACAGTTGTTGTCAAGGAATTTGCTAACATAAATAGCGTCTCAACCATTATATGTCTTTCGAATCAGAGCCATCTTGAGGAGCCATGGTATCAGACGAAAGGCCTCGTCAGCACTGGATATAGCAGATATAGTGTGGTTGACATATTATTTTCACTCAGAAGATATTATTAATAATCAAGAATGGAAACGATAAAAACTGTTTTACTAACCTCGTTCGCAGAAATCACCAGTGTAACCTAGCGGACACAAACAAATCCAATGATCGGGGCTTTCTGCCACACATTGTCCACCATGAAGACACGTGACCTTGTTACACACGTCAGCGCTACATTCCCCTAACGTAACATAATTCAATTAATTTAGAAACAGACAAAAGGGCAATCTTAGTATTAACTACGTAAAGTATAGTCAGTTTCTATAATGTTAGTTTCATTAACAGTATTGGTTAGAATGTTTATATATCTAGTTATATTACATTTTAATCATTATACTTTAATTATAGAGATTGTTTTACATTGTTAGTTTAGTATATGAATCTAGGACTAACTTAACTCTCCTAAACTGTTCCTATGAGATATTTTTGGGTTTACGACCGAAAATATCGTTAACATCAAGGGCATCCAACTGATGAAACAATGCATTCTATTCTTTATAAATAATAGCGAAATAAATGTATGTTGAATTAACTATGCTTATTATAGCGCTGCTATTTAGTTTTGACCTAAGTAGGTAGGTGTCTCTGATCAAAAGTTAATATATACTTTTCTGTTAATTATCTGTATTGTATTCTAACTTATCGCATGTGAACCAGTAATTTAAACGTATTTCAATTACAGTGATTTCATTAAAACACTAATTTCTTCAAAGATAATGAATACGATTAATGACTGGATCCACATTGTCGATATTATATATTCGAAGTTGTAATCTCGTTCGTGGAAGCTTAGGAACTGCATGAATATTCATAATTGAATCTATTTTAAAAACACTTCTCCAGTGTAAAGACTTCAAGCTACCCCCCCCTTTCAAGTTACCTCCCGGTAATCTGAAATCGATTTCATATTACCCCCGGGGGTAATATGAACCTGATTTCATATTACCCCTGCACTGTTCGGATTACCCCCTCGCTGATCTAGCACAAATTATAAATTCTTATGTTTACAACTCATGATACGTTTATTGAATAAAACACGTGAAACATACAAGACTGAAAGCTAGTCTCAATATCTGAAAAAAAAAAAATGTCACAAAAATATTAAAATCACTCATACACTAGTTCAAAGTGCATGACATATTACATACAAACATAAGATATACAAAGATTCATTCTAATTGGAGAAATGTTGTTGTTGTTGTCAGTTTATTTATAAGTATCTAAATAAACAAAAATAAATAAATGTTTGGAGGAGGTAAATCACATTCAAGCTACCCCCCGGGGTAATTTGAAATCGATTTCATCCTACCTCCCGGTAATCTAAACGCGATTTTAAGTTACCGTGGAGTAAGGTGAAGCAGAGGTAATCTGGAATTGTAGGGGTAAATTGAAATCACTTTCAAGCTACCCCCAGGGGTAATTTGAAATCGATTTCATCCTACCTCCCGGTAATCTAAACGCGATTTTAAGTTACCGTGGAGTAAGGTGAAGCAGGGGTAATCTGGAATTGTTACACCGGAGCAGTTTCAACAGTTTAAAACATCCGATCAAAGTTCACTTAAAAGTTGCTGGAACAGAACAATAAATGTAAATTTAATTTTAATAGATATACGATTCTGAAAATAGCAATAGTTAGTCTTATCACCGTTTGTTTTGAATATTATATTTGATTTATTAAAATCTGATCATAGAAAGCACTACGGATGTTAAACAAATCGGCAAACGCCACTAGGTGGCTTTCTTTATTTTGTATTTTATTTTTCTTTGTTTGTTTGAAATTAAGCACAAAGCTACACAATGGGCTATCTGTACTCTACCCACCACGAGTATCGAAACCCGGTTTCTAGCGTTGTAAGTCCGCAGACATACCGCTGTGTCGCTAAGGGGGGCTCTTTTATTTTTTAGCGTATAAACTATAATAATTTTAAAGCTAACGAAGAACTTATGACATCGCCTATCATAAAATAAAGTCAGGGAATGAATATTAACGACTAAATCGTAGACACTAGAAGGCTTGATGGGAATTCTTTTGCAGCCTTTTTTGGTCTTTTAAGTGAATGTTTCTGAAGAATTCTTCTCGGCTTTTGGCTTTGATGAACCTGGTAAATTATGTTTTATCACCTTTCTCCAATAACGAAGTAAAAACGAAACTCACCCACGTCAGCACCTTCGACGGCGTCACCTCTGCTACCAGAACGGAAGTCGTACTCTCGAGTATTAATCTCCAAGTGGCGCACGCACCCTATAAATCCCTGTTGACATCCCGTTCTTTCATTTACAAGGCTAATGTTAGGAGACCCTCCAAGGTAAAGGTTCTGGCGGAATGTTATACGAGAAAATAGTCCCTACAGAGAAACATTAGCATGGAACTAATATTTTCTTTACTTATCGAAGTATATAACATTTAATATATATTTTCCGTTTTTGATATTGGTTGATTTATCGAGGAGTGAGTCTTATACATGAAACAGTGCGAAAGTAATTGAAAATTATATTTAATGATGACAATGGAAGTTTTCAAACATTAACACTGATATTATCAGGGTGATCAAATTAGTATTAATGAACAGTAATGGAACACCAAAAGACTTACAAAAAGAGTACACAAGGGCCCACACACATACGTACTGTCAGTAATAGCACAAAAATATGACGAGAGTACTAACAGTAGACACGTTGATTTACTGCGGAAGCACGAAGATACTACTCTAAAAACTATGTGTAGAAGCACGAAGACACTACTCTAAAACTATGTGTAGAAGCATGAAGACACTACTCTAAAACTATGTGTAGAAACACGAAGACACTACTTTATAACTATTTGAAGAAGCACGAAAACACTGCTCTAAAGCTATGTGTAGAGACACGAAGACACTACTCTAAAACTATGTGTAGAAACACGAAGATACTACTCTATAACTATGTGTAGAAGCACGAAGACACTGCTTTAAAACTATGTGTAGAAGCACAAAAACACTATTCTAAAGGTATGTGTAGAAGCACGAAGATACTACTTTAAAACTATGGGTAGAAGAACGAAGACACTACTCTAAAACTATCTGTAGAAGCACGAAGACACTACTCTAAAACTATATGTATACACATAGTTTTAAATTAATGTCTTCGTGTTTCTACACATAGTTTTAGAGTAGTGTCTTCGTGCTTCTACACATAGTTTAGAGTAGTGTCTTCATTCTTCTACACATAGTTTTAAAGTAGTATCTTCGTGCTTCGGAACACGAAGATACTACTCTATAACTATGTGTAGAAGCACGAAGACACTGCTCTAAAACTATGTGTAGAAGCACGAAGACACTGCTCTGAAACTATGTGTAGAAGCACAAAAACACTATTCTAAAGCTATGTGTAGAAGCACGAAGACACTGCTCTAAAACTATATGTAGAAGCATGAAGATACTACTCTGAAACTATGTGTAGAAGTACGAAGATATTGAGCAAGAACTAATTGTAGAAATAGTAGAAGACAAGAAAATATCACACAAGAATGTAGTTATTAACTTACAGGTAATGAGTTAATCTTACCTTCGCTCGTCCTTGAACCTGCTTCCCGTCGTTCAGCTGGAGCCAAGCGTCCCATCGATCTCTATACACAGTGAAGAAGTTCCAAGACCGAAGAACAACAGGTCGATGACTTCTGAGTATTCCCATTCCCATGCCACAATCAAACCTGCGTAACAAAATCGATTAATCTAAAACAATATGTCTGTTTGTTTTAGAGGAAAGCCACAATGGATTATATACTGTGTTGCGTGGGATCGAACACCGGATTTTAGCGATATAAACCCGTAGACTTACCGCTGTCACACCGGAGAACTTCTAAGAACAAGCTGAAGTTGGGAATGAGGTAAAAAAATGAGAAAACGAAAACAGAAACGAGAATTAAAAGCGTAAGAGCATTCCCAAACAGCCAGGCCTAAAGAGCATTCCTAAGCAGCAGGACTTAAGGCCCAAGGATATAAGAGGCTACTCAAATAAGTGTAATAGAGAACTTTGAAAGAGATTTCTAAACGTTTGAGTTTAGAAGTTAAAAAAGAAACTATGTAGTTAACTCTATAATTACCGGTGTGTATATACATGGAGCCCGTCCGTTTTTAAACACACTTCCCTAAACTGTTTCTGCTACAAATTGTTTGTAAAGTCATGCTATGTTGGTCACATACTCCGTAGGAACATGAGCCGCACCAAATATTGTACACAGAGATACCATCCCTACAGTAATTAAATCCCGTTACTAGTAGGGTTATCTGTTTATTTTACATAGAAAATGAGTGAGTTCGTCTAATGTTTTTGTCAGTTCTTTATATTGAGTATCCCCCCCAGTGGTGCAGCGGTATGTCTGCGGACTTACAACGCTAGAAACCGGGTTTCGATACCGTGGTGGGCAGAGCACAGATAGCCCATTGTGTAGCTTTGTGCATAACAACAATCAACAATATTGAGTGTTTTAAGAAGCAAAAATATAAAATTTTTTCAGTATGATGAAATATGTTGACCCCACCGGTAACAAACAATACAAAACCAAGTCAGTATTTTCAGAGTTAAATCTATATAATGGAGATTATCAGAACGTTTGATTTCCTTGTTTATTTGTACTTTAAGCACAAAGATTCACATTGGGCTATCTGTGATCTGGCCAACATGTGCATCGAAACCCGATTTCTAGCATTGTAAGTCCGCAGACATGCCGCTGTGCCACTGAGGAGCTGTTTGACTTGATTTGACTGTAAAAGCAGGAAGAAATTGGTAATAGTAAGTAATTTGTTTGTTTGTTTACTTTTTAGGACAAAGCTGCTAAGTGGGTTATCAGCGTTGTGACTACTACAGGGATCGTACTCCGAAGTTGAGCATTTAATCTTCCAATATTGCTGCGTAATCACCTAGGGGGGGATAATGAAATTATGTAACATAGAGGATATATATGTATATTTTTAAATACTTATAATAGCCCCAATATACCGATGTAAGTGTAAAAAACCTTGATGGTATTTGTTAATTTTCCTTTAAGTGCTGGATGTTTGCTATTGCTTACTAAAAATTACCTTTCTCTGAATAGTAGGCCAGAAAGTCCTTTAAGTTACTTTCCTTAGTTTTGCTGTTGGAGTGGCAGCCTGGTTGTAAGTAATCCTCAAATAAGCAACAGCAGCTCCAGGAAGTGTTTTGCAAAGAAAGAAAGCAAAGACGAGTGAACAGATAAAAACAGTTTTTATTCGGAATGACAGTTTTACAGCACTGTTCGGCTTCTATGGTCGTGATGTTATTGTAGTCGACTGCTGAAGTAGGTAAAAATCACGTATACACAAAATGAAGACGGAGCAAGAATAATTTATTTCGCCGTTAACTCTAACTAAAGTTCTATGCGGTATCCTGTATTTCAAGACTACCTACATCAAGAAATTTGTATTTGAATTCGATATTTATGACAAAGCTACTAATACCATCTGCTGCTTTTTAAATTATGAGCTACTAGCCAGAGGGAAGGCAGCTGATCAGTAGTCTCCGCCACCCATGATGTATGCTAAGAGATTGACTATCACTCTTATAACGCATCCACAAATTAAAGTGCAAGAAATATTTTGTGATAAAACATGGATTCGAACCCAGTTCGCCAGTTCGAAAATCCAGAACTACAGAACCTCTTAATAAGGACATTTCTTCTAGACCATCTACCTTTATTGGGTGGCTACCATTTGAACCCCTCACCCTATTAATGTCACCTGTTTCGGAAATCAGACCTAGTCTGGAACCTTCAATAACAAAGTTAAGTAAAAAAAAAGGTTTACATGAATATAAAAGCGCAAACAACGGAGAAGGCATAACAAGTTTGTATTTTCAGTTTGTATCAAATAGTGTTGGAAAAAAAATCAGATGAAGAAGACAAAAATGTAAGTTTTCAGACAAACGAATAGCATAAATCTTAACGGAAAGATTATGTGAAAACAACTGCAGTACCATGGTTCCAAATGACATATCAGGTGTAGGAAATGAGCAGGTGTTCAGGTAAGAGTGCTTACAGTACGACAAAGCACATTTCTTTCTCTATAGTAATATGGTAGGTTTCTACAGAAAGCATGTAATTTATTACTTAAGAGTGTAATTATATTACAACCAGGCATGAAACGGAGCATCATGTTTTCTTTCTTTTGCTTCTGACGACTGGACTAACGCCGCAGTTTTTTTTTATACAGCTGAAGAACAGAGAAAGATCGAGACCATAGCCTGGATACTGAACAGGTGGCAGTAATGGGATATTCCTCTATTAATGTAGAACTTTCAAAACGAGAGCATGGCTATGATGTGAATATTTAACGACCTGAGATAACATTCATTAAATAAACTGATAACACTACTGAGAATTTTCGAATAAATGTAGGAAAGTGAGTATCTTCAAACACCTTGGTAAGATGATTATTACAAAGAGGAGTCATAAATTGTACGCAAATATAGCACCTACACTTGTACGTAATTTAAATCTTAGATAAATGACATTAGAAGTAAACTGAATTTTTTTTAACAAATATAGCAAAAGAGTTTATGTTGAGCAATTTAAACATGAGATCTGGACTGCTATGAACTTATGGACTTTTACTTGATAAATCATATAAACTGAGATAACGTTTGGACTAGTAGAAAAGAATGCTTGGATGTGCTGCTTAAAATAAACAACTGATGGAGCAGCAGAATAGGTGTAACGAATTTTGATTAAAGTTTTACTAAGAAAATCAGAGAATTACGCTATAAGAGTAATATGTTTTTGTTTGTTGTTAAGCGCAAAGTTACACAACGGGCTATCTGTGCTGTGCCTACCACGGGTATCAAAACCTAATTTTTTAGCGTCGCAAATCAAGAGACTTTTCGCTGAGTCATAGGGGGGTGGAGCTTATGCAGTGTTACAAACGGGGGTGGTGTGGAGCTTATGCAGTGTTACATACGTTAAGAAATTTGTAGGGAACAGCGGTAAAAATCAATGAGTTCCCTTCAGTTGTTTAACAGAAAAAAAAATGTAGAAAAACACACATCGCAAATTTTGTTTTGTTTTATTTCGCTAAAATGATAAATGAAACAAAAATAAATAAAAGTTCATCACTTTGTTTTCGCTAGCACTTGTTCGGTGGTCTAATCTTCTTCCAACTTCTTTTACTCAATGTATATTTTTTCCTTTTTTAAGAAAAAACAAACAGTGAAAATGGACCATATGTTCTGAAAATATTGGATATAACTTTGTTCTCATCCGTCATAAGACTGTCTCCCTCTCTCGCTGTCAAATGTCTCATAAAGTTCAAAAACAAAATCGGAACTGATTTTTATAGATTTTTCAAATACATAAAAGACTCATCAAGCAACGACAGATGTCCATTTAGGCTGAAAAAAGTTAATGCATGAAAGCCTGTCCTCCTTTAAACTGAGAGCTCCGATAAACTGTCTAGCACCTCCTACAGTTTCTAACGAATGAAAAGTAAATGGTATATAGTTCAAGCACCAAAAGAAGCGGGAGAAAACAGTTTTCTATAGAGAGTGTGTTTCACAATTAAATATATGTGTAATATCCCGGACGAATCGACCAGTAATTGAGAATATATATTAATTAGTGATCTGTATAAATCGACCAATGACTGAGAGGATATTAATTAGTGATCTGTATAAATCGACCAATGACTGAGAGGATATTAATTAGTGATCTGTATAAATCGACCAATGACTGAGAATATATTAATTAGTGATCTGTAGAAACTGACCAGTGACTGAGAAGATATTGATTAGTGATCTGTAGAAATCGACCAATGACCATTAGTGACTCCTAAAAAGCACCAATTTAAACTACATTCATAACAAGAACGTAGCATCATTTAACAATTTTACACCCTGAAGTCGATAATGGTGATCCTCTGATAAAACGAACACTAATATTTGAAGATACAATGGTAACAAAGACATGACATTATGTAACAGTCTTACACCTTGAATGTCAGATAACACACTCTGAACGATCGTAGACACCGCCAAAAAAGTAGTACACTTCCTTCCTTATCGAGTCTTTTAAGATGATCACGGTTTTGATTGCATGGAAATATTGATTTTTTTCATAACACTGGGCGTTTTAGTCCTAGGAACAATGTAGAACATTTTTAAAAGCAAGGATGCTTTGTTTAGTAATAAAAGTCCCACAGTGGGACAGCGGTAAGTTTACTGACTTACAACGCTAAAATCCAAGTTTGGATTCCCCAAGGTGGCCTCAGTAGATAGCCAACTATGGCTTTGCTCTAAAATCAAACAAAAAAAAAAACAGTTGTTATAAGATAATCTAGCATTAACTTGTTATATTTTAAACAGTATTAATAATGTTAATGTATATTCAAATAGCGTTAAATAATCTACTGTTATTAAAATGTTATAAAAAAGGTTTATGTGTCTACGAAATCAAATTTACACGCAAAAACACACCCACACATATATGACAAGTCATATTACATTAAAATCTGAAATCCTTACTCTGGAAACAAGTGGAATTGGCTTTGAAAAAAGAAAAACGACCATGAGGAGAATAGCTGGTTTTCTTTAAGTTTTAAATTTTAGTGAGAAAATCTTTATCTTTTAGAGAGACACTGGTTATGAAACTATTTTAATTCAGAATATATTACTCCTCAATCTGACAAAACCTGGGCCTAAATATCTACACTATACGTATAAAAGTCTCAAAATATACATATACAGAATTGGAAATAATTATGGAAACGTACAGATGTCACACACAAAGGAGTCTTAAACAATTAGTAATTGCAACTAAATGATCACTTTATCATTAGTACAATACATTCGTATAGAACATACAAACGAAAACGAATAATTTGTATGATGTAATAGTATTTTGTTTTTGATTTAAACATTGCAGTACAAATTTCCTGTATTACTCTCAACAATTCAACCAAATATTCTGGTTGCCGTTTAATCTTCTCAATTCCCATATAAGTGCATATAGCCTTATTGGTATTCGTGTATGCAGGACATACCATGGTTGGATGTTTTCTCTCGGTCTTCTTTTGTTTCTGAGTATCATTTCACCATATTTGCAATAATGATTGTGACCACTTTCTTGCTGAAATATAGTCCCCCTCGATATGTCTTGTTCCTGAATGACGTGATGGATTGGAACCTGTTTGTATCTGTCAGTAGTCAAGGTACCATCCTTTTTTTTTGTGTAGGTTTCCAACAACATTGGCTGAGATGCAGATCCTCACATATGACTGTTGTAAGGTGATCATGAAATTGTTACTTTTTTTTGCATTGAACAAACTATTTTGATCGTTACCAAACAATGTGGAGTTGGATTGGTCTGTAAAGATTACCCTCCTCAAGCATTGTCCATCCCGTTGTTTGAAATCTAATGCCTATTTCAGCCTTGTTTGTTATCTCTTCAAAATAGAGGTTTTTGAGCAAATACTCATCAACTGAAGCCACTTCGTGTTGATGTATACCTTACTGTTACGTAGACAACATTCACACCTGTACTTACAGCTGTGTCATTGCCAGTATCTCTGATAAAGCATACAGGGACTCATGGAATACGTAGTCTTTATCAGCTAAAATTTGAGTTTCATCTTAGTTTTTTCTCATGTTGCATTTCTGTTTCAAGTATCATGAGAGCATTCATAACACTACTTCTGGAAATAGTATGGCTGCCTGTACTTTTATAGTCATTATGCTGGTTGGGTGACAGCATATCACAGTGTAAGCTATCAACACGTAACTTTACTCTGGTGCAATTTATTTTTCTACAACAGAGGGACAGCATTTCAAAAATATTTGGATTTTACACCCATTTTATTCACAATTCCATAATCATCTTATCTTGAAAGAATAACCCCGAACCAGAAGATCCTGTGAGACAAAAAAAGACTGAGATACCTTAGTTTTATTACCTGTGAATCCGAAAGTTCATGGTTTGAGGCCCGTTGCCGTAAAGTCTCGCTCCTCAGTTTGGAGCTGTGGCTGCATTATAGTAACTTTCGACTAGAGTAACCTAAGTGTTGGCGGTTGGGGCTGCTGACTTGTTGCCTATTTTAGTCTATCATTGAAAAATTAGAGATAGTTTTCGTATAGCCTTGCGCGGATATCCTAAACAAACAAGTTAGTAATAACAAAGAAGAAATGGCAACACGACAGCATAGGACTAATTATTTACTAGTATAAGTGACCTGCGCCGAATACATTGTGATTAAGTGTTACACCATGTCATTCTATTTTGGTGACGTTCTAAATTAATTAAGCAAAATTACATTAATGATCTTTTGGAACTTTCTTTGCTTTTGTAATCTCCAACATCTTTCTAATTTTTTTGGTCACATTCTTCGCTACGTGTTTTTCAGTATTTGCTGAAGTTTACCTATAAGATACCTAAAACTCTTTCACTTTGTCAACGACTTTTAAATTCGCGATGGTTTTAATCGATAATGTCACGATTATCATGTACCGGTCTTTCTAAAGGAATATTTTGAAACTGAAAAGGACGCAAACTTAGTTAATAATAAAACTCAGTAACTTATTGGGCTAACTGAAATAAGGAAAAATTAATATACTCGTTTTATATATATTTTAGCCCACCGTGTCAATGAGCTGAATTAGTATATTCACTGTATTTAAAGTGTATAACGGGGTCAGAATTCTGAGCTGTTACATTAAGCCTTGATCGAAAGTGAACACAACTCGCCGAACAAACAATCTATTATCTTACTAAACAATATATACATGATTTTACTGTTGAAGAAATAAAAAAAAAAATTACTGAAATCCATTCTGTAAGATCTCACTTAGATTGTGACGATGATTTGTTTTATACAATCACAACTACCAAACACTCCCCGGCTCTTTTACAGACTTTTCATGAGGAGCATAAACTCTATCGTGTACTTCCTGAAACAAAACAACGGTGAAGAAAACAAACAGAAAACTTTTAGGGCTAGAGCTTTGATAATTAATTACGTCATTTAAACACTATATTGAACAAGAACATCGTACATTTGCTATCAGCTATAAATCTAAGATATTTTTCTTTAAAAAAATGTAGGAGAGCACTTTATATTTTTAACTAGTTGGAGAAAACAATTTATAAAATTAAAATATAACAGCATACGTTCTGTTAATTTTAAAAGTTATTATCAATACGATAATAATCTAAAATATAAATATAAGTTTATATTTATCAGAAGGTATTAATTGTTTATTTTTATAACTACTTTCAAGACTTAAAATGCATTTACATAAGGTTATAAATCGGTTATGAAGAAATTTGTCGCTTACAATTATTAGTTGCAGCCTACGTGCCAGAAGGCTAAAGATGTGATATGGAGGTGAATATAAAACAAATTACATAATTAGAAACACAAATATTGAAGTAGACTTTGCACAAATCCACGGAAAGAGAAATGGGAGAATGTTCCTTATTGATTATCTAACGCACAATTCCACGAAACACTCACTCTTCGACAGACGCGTCTTTCGTTATTTCGCGTTGAGAAGAGGCTGTACAAACACACAGATCAGTCAAGTAGACGACGTTAGTCCATTAACTGGTGGAAAACAACAGGTGTTCGAGTACACCTGGCTGTATAGCAGAAGAAAAGCAGCAGTTTCCATCAAACAACCCAGAACGTTGGACGAAAAAACGAGGGCATTCATCAAATAACTCAGAACATTGGACGAACAAAGAGGGCGTCCAGCAAACAACCCAGAACATTGAACGAACAACGAGGGCGTCCAGCAAACAACCCAGAACGCCGGGCGAAAAACGAGGGCATTCATCAAACAACCCAGAATATTGAACGAACAACGAGGGTGTCCATCAAACAACCCAGAACGCTGGTCGAAAAACGAGGGCAGCGCTTGACACTTCCGAGTTATTTTCTTCCCTTAATTTTTCACAACCATGAGTTGCATAACTAGTTTAAAAAATTTATATTGATATTGGTAAGGGCGTTCTTAGTAAATTATCAAAGTTTCCTGATGTATTGATTTATTGATAACGATTGGAGAAATATTTGGTAAATGACCCTTAATTACACTGTGAAAAGAAGGGCATTTGGGTATTCCTAATTTAGATCACACGTTAAATACAGATGGTAACCCACTTAGTAGTGTGACTGGAGAAAAGGATCTTGGTAGAGTAAGAATCACTCAATAGCATGACTGGAGAAAAGGATCTTGGTATAGTAGAATTCACTCAATAGCATGACTGGATCAAAGAATAGTACATTAGTGGATATATATTATTCTTACAAATAGGAAATCTTGCTCACTACAGTTTTTTCGCACGTGGTGTAAATATGTACTGAAATGTTCTGTCCAAGTTCATTGTTAAGTAGAAAGCTGTACAATAGGCTATCTGTGCTGTCCTCACTACACAGGGATCGAGTTCCGAATTCTATCGCTATAAGTCATCAAGGTTACGGCAACTTATACATGAAAAACTAATAGATCTTATATGGGCGTTAAATATGTATTAAATATAAGTTAAATATATCTCTCTCTAAGCATACACTGAAGAAACACCCTTAGAGTTACAACTTTTCGGCGTTTTAAAATCTATAATAGTGAAACCTTCCCGTACTGCTGAAGGGATGGCTGGACCTCTAGCCTTACTAGTGACTGAAATATGGCTCGGATAATTTACATTTCACGTTCACACCTTGCCTTACTTTTCAGTGATATGTGGCTCAGATAATTTCATTTCTTAACACGTCATTCACGAAAGGGTTTTTTTTTGTAAATCAAACTTGCGATTAATTTTGAGGATTTTTTTCTACTATGAGCCTTATGAGAGAAATTATATTATTTGTATGATAATTTTCGTACAAGGCTAAGCGAATTGTTATCTTTGCAGTCACTCTAATTGTTAACTAATAGGATAGAAGGAAGCCAGATAATCAACAGCACTAAACTCCAACTCTTGGACTACTTTTGCCCGATCGAAAAGATATATATACATGACCGTCACTGTTATAGCGCAATCACGGTCTCTAGGGGCGGAGCGCGTTTTTGCGCCAACGGCCCACGAATTATGAACCCTCAGATTCATAGCACGCCAGTCACTAGGTCATACATGGCCCTTGAAGATAAATAAAACAAACATTGTGAATGGACATTGAGTAAGTCGCTAATCTCGTCATACTCGACCTTTCTGGCTTCACCAATTCCAAAACATCGTTATTAGAGCTAAAACCTTTCATTTTAACCAGCGTATTGCCAAATTCTATTTTGTTTAATCCCAAAAACTTAACAAGTTATATATGCCATATCCGATGCAGACGACGCCCTTCTTTCAATACCACGGCTCATCGGGATACAACATATAAGTGACCTAGTGTCATAAATTACATGAACAACAATAGATCAGTGGTGTTGGTTGCCTATAAAAGTAGGAAGAGCAGGACGGGGAAGTGATTTAATAAAAGCATCAATAAGTGCTTGTATGTTCTGGTTTCAGTGCGAAATTCCACAACGTGCTTTTCCACCACAGGGATCGAGCCACGAATGATAGTGTTATAAGCCCTAAAATTCACCAGTAGGGCCTGTAATATATACTTCGTGTATGTAATATAACCTTTCTCACAAATATAGCTTGGTTTATTGCAGGGAAAAATATTTTCATTAGATTTCTTGACTTTAATTCTCTGATTCAAGGTAGCATATAAATTTTTCGGTTGTCTTCCTGATAACATAATTTGTTTGTTTATTTTCAAACTTAGCTTTTAGAGTTTTGTTTGAAATTTATTCCAGTTCTTTTTGGATATCATTAATATTAATTTTAACGTTATTATGTAAGGAATATTTTTTTCTTCTTTATATCATTATTAGTTTCCTTTTTAATTTTAGCTAACTTGAAACCTCTCTCTATTACACTTTCTGGATAATGACACTTCCTAAGGTAAGATTTTAATTCCATAAGTCTGTGTTGTTGAACTTTTGGGCTAGAAGCAATAGAAAAAATCCTTTGGGTTAGGCAGAGTGGAATATTTAACTTAGTATGTATAGGATGATTAATATAAAAAGCTAAATACTGGTGTGAATTAGTAGTTTGTAATATAAATCCGTTTCAGTCTTACCATCTTCCAATGTGGAATATTTACCTTAGTGTGTATAGGATGATTAATATAAAAATCTAAATACTGGTGTGAATTAGTAGTTTGTAATATAAATCCGTTTCAGTCTTACCGTCTTCCAAAGTGGAATATTTACTTTAGTGTGTATAGGATGATTAATATAAAAATCTAAATACTGGTGTAAATTAGTAGTTTGTAATATAAATCCGTTTCAGTCTTACGTCTTCCAAAGTGGAATATTTACTTTAGTGTGTATAGGATGATTAATATAAAAATCTAAATACTGGTGTGAATTAGTAGTTTGTAATATAAATCCGTTTCAGTCTTACCGTCTTCCAAAGTGGAATATTTACCTTAGTGTGTATAGGATGATTAATATAAAAATCTAAATACTGGTGTAAATTAGTAGGTTTGTAATATAAATCCGAGTCAGTTTAACCGTCTTCCAAAGTAGCATATTTACTTTAGTGTGTATAGGATGATTAATATAAAAATCTAAATAC